AAAAAAAAAAAAAAGAAAAGAAAAAAAGAAATCCCACAGTGCACGGTGACACCGGAGACTGGACAAGGTCAAGGCTGACCCGGCACTCCCTGCGCCCCGCCCCGGGAGGCCGCTGGGCCTCTATCTGACCACCTGCAGGATGGGGTGATGACAGCACTCCCAGCGGGTACGCCCATGGAGGGTCACGAAGACGTTTAACTCAAGGCACATACAGTCCACGGCCCGTGTCCGGTCAGTAAAGCCTCTGCGGGGCTCCCACCCTCCAGACCCTTGAGTCCCCGGCGGGGAGACCGGGCAGAGCCGAGCCGAGCAAGGGCCTCACCCGGGAAAATGAAGATAAAGAAGGAGCTGATCCCGCCGATGATGCCGATGATCTCGCTGAGGTCGGGCAGGAGCAGGGCCATGGCCAGCGTCACGGCGACCCACAGGACGGTCAGTGGCACCCGGACCCACGGCCCCGAGGGCTCCGCCAGGGCCCCGGGCCCACACGCCAGGCACCAGCTCCTCCTCCAGAGATCCTGCATCACCGACCTGAAGGCCACACACCACGGGCGGCTCCAGCCCCGCGCCGGCCCCCACCGGGCGCCGCTCCCCAAGGACCGCGCCGACCCTCCCACGGCTCAGTCTGGAGCAGGCACCGACATACAAGGGCCCCGCGGGCCGGACCTCACCTCCCCAGGAAGAGCGCAATGGGGTAGACGGTCACGATGGACACTCCGAAGAGGGCCCGGGCCACGATGATGACCACGTCATCGCCCGGGTAAGACATCAAGATGTCCGCAGAAACTTCTGCCCCGAAGGTCAGGAAGCCGTAAACCCCTGGGAGGCGGAGAGGGCGGAAGGCCGGGGAAGGGGGGCGGATTAGAAGGGCGCCGTGCGGGCGGGAGACGTGGACGGAGGGCACAGCACGGGGAACGCCGCGGACAGCGGGCACTGCGTAACACGGCAGCCGCGTCCCCGTGCTGTCCTCCCAAAACTAACGGCGTCGTGGGTCAGCAAGCTTCCTGGGTGACCATGGTGGGCCCCAGGGGCTGGCACACTGCAGCGGCCCAAGGGCTCCCCGGGTCAGGGGCTCCAAAGCCCTGGGCAGGAGGAAAGCAGCCAGCCAGAAGTCGGCCTGGGCCTGAGACCCGGGCTGTGCCACGGGCACGCTGTGTGACCCCTGAGCAGGTCCCAGCCGTCTCTGAGCCCCACTTCCGCGCCCCTCGGAGACTCTTCTGCCTGGAACCCAGGTCTGTGGGCACCCACGTCCGTCAAAGCCACAAGGGCGTTTTGTAAATCGCTACCCAGAGATCATGCCACGCGCCGGTCACTACCGTCCCATTGGACACCTGTGTGGCAGGGTGTGGAGCGTACGAGCAGGGTCTCAGCTCTGCACGTCTAGCCGGGGGGCCCTGCCGGACAAGCCACGGGAGCCGTCTGAGCCTCAGCTACTCCTTCTGTGAAATGGGGACTTCCCAGGGGGGTCAGGAGTAAACGGGCGAGGGCTGTGACACCTCCCGGACCCGGCACGGCGCGGCGGGCACGCGGTGAGCACTCCTCGGGCACACGTGATTCGGGGTCTCCCGCGCCCCCTGCCCAGCTCCGCGGTGTGCTGGTGCTGCCTTACCTGTCAGCGAGTAGACGAGGCAGCAGGCCAGCAGGGACAGCACGGAGACCAGGGCCCAATGGGAGAGGCTCCGATGGGTCATGCTGCAGTAAATGGACACCCCGGCTTCGTGACACTGCGAGGCAGGGGCGGGGCTCAGGGGGCGCCCGAGGCACCGGGAGCCACCTCGAACGTCTCAGGGCCCCAAAGCACAGGAAGCCACCCACGGGTCCGCCGACAGTAGGAAGTCTAGCAGGGAAATCGGCAGACGGTCACCCGGGAAATATGACACAGCCCTGAAGGACGAACACAACCTCACACAGGACGGCCTCGCGGCCGGAACGCTGAGCAAGACGAGAAAACGTGTTTCCGGGGACGTGAAGTTCCAGTTACAAGTTAACCACCCTGGGGCAAGGGTTCTGGACTGCAGCGCCCTTGACATCAGGGCGGGGGGGGGGGGGGGGGGCTGTCCTGTGCGCTGCAGGATGCTGGGCAGAATCCCTGGTGGGGACCCACTGGACGCCAGGAACACCTCCGCCCTCATTGTGACAACCAAAAACATCTCTGGACATTGCCCAATGGCCCCCTAGAACTGCTCCTAGTCGAGAACCACCGCTTCCGGTGACAGAAGGGGGCTGCTGTGGAGCAGGACAGGTCACAAGGGAGCTTGTGGGGGTACCAGAAACATTCTATTTTTTTTCAATGTTTTTATTTATTTTTGGGACAGAGAGAGACAGAGCACGAACAGGGGAGGGGCAGAGAGAGAGGGAGACACAGAATCGGAAACAGGCTCCAGGCTCTGAGCCATCAGCCCAGAGCCCGACGCGGGGCTCGAACTCACGGACCGCGAGATCGTGACCTGGCTGAAGTCGGACGCTTAACCGACTGCGCCACCCAGGCGCCCCACCAGGAACATGCTAGATCCTGACTGGGCTGAGGGTTGCACGGGGATAGACACAGCCATGATTTATGTGTTTCACGTATACTTAATAATGTCATGAAGAGTTTGAAATATAAAACACCTATGGCCAACGTCAAGGACTTTATTTACTTGGGGCAGGACCTGGGCAGCGGCATTTCACCAGCAGCCCAGGAGACCCTGACTGCCACGCAGCCGGAATTGAGAGGCAAGACTTTATCTTGATGCCCCCTATGGCTTCCAGACTGTTCTATGGTTCCTTCCACACATCAGCCTCTTTACTCCCTTCCGATCAAAACCAAACACGCAGATCACCTCCTCCTGCCCACTCTCCAGGCTGCTAGCCACGCCTTCCTCACCCACTGAGCTCAGTTCACCTCTGTTCCTCCTGGCTGCCTCAGGACATTTGCTTGTGCTGGGTCCTCGACCTGGGATTCTCTCTTGGTACGGCCAGCACCTACCCTTACTTTCAGAAAGCTCTCCCCAGCAGGACTGAGCCCTTCCCTGTGTCCCTCCCCTCTCCTCCCCTCCCGAGCACTTCTGGGTTTGCTTGTTCAGGACCTGTTAGCTACATGAGGGCGAGGACCACATTGGCTTCGCTTATGCCTCTGAGCTCAGGCCACACACAGAGCCCGGCCCACAGCTAAAGAACGTTCCAGGGGGACTCAATTACACACCCATTAACCCACCCAGCAAGCAGGAAGCCTCCCCCACCCCCGGCTCCCCAGCACTCAAATGCTTAATAGTCCCACTTGGTGCCAGTGTGAGATGCCAGGTAGTCAAGCAAACATAGCTCCCCCACCTCGTGGAGCATGATGGGGAGGGGCACGCCCTCGGGAGGGGTGGGGGGCACACACAGTCACTCCCCAACTCCCCTGCAGGGGCCGCGTCCGGGGGAGACTGAGCGCACACACCCTTCCCCCAGACACTCCTGCCCCAGGCTGCCTTGACCTTGCAGGAGCCTGCTGGCTGCAGGCTGGCTCAGCCAGGCCCTGGGGGCTTTATCCTCAAGGGGAGCCTCAGCCAGGGGAAGCCAGGGGACCCAGGTTCCCGCCTCCTGTACCTACCCCTATGGCATTTCTCAGGTACATCCGCATGGCTCCCAGAACGGCCCAGACCCCATGACAGGGGGTCTCCCTGTCTCCCCATCCCTGCTCCCGAGTACACACCAACCCCCAAGGCCCACAGACTCTGTGGGGTCGCCAAGGATGCCACGCGGCGGGGGTCTCCAGGGCACAGCCAAGAGCAGGGGTGGGGACGAGACGCTCGGCTGTGGCAGGATATCGTTCAGCCCTCCCCCCAGGTTGTCCCAAGACCCCTGGGCCGTTTCTCCTGCTTTTACACCAGCTTTTACACAGCTCCCAAGGACAGGGCCGCCCGGCTGGGACAGGGGACAGGACAAGGGCGGGGATGGCACTGGCTCTCTGCTCCCAGGGCAGGAGAAACGGCAGGTGGAGGAGCACACTGGCCGGGAAGCACAAACAGGCCACACGTGGACCGGCTGAGGAGCGGTCTGCAGGCTGCACTCGATCTGGCTGACAACCACCCCGCAGCCACAGAAAGGGGAGCAGCCAGAGGCACAGGGCCCGACAGGGGCGAACGTGGAGAGCAGCACGCTGGGGGACAGAAGCCGGGCCCAAGGGACCCCCTCAGAATGAAAGGCCCGAAGCAGATCCGCAGAGAGACACGTGGGTGCCGGGGCGTGGGGGCCGGTCGGCCACAGGTACAGGGCTCCTTTCGGGGCGCCGCCAGCGTTCTGAGGCGCCTGCGGCCCACGAGTGAACTGTTTGCCACGGGACTTAGACCTCAATACGGCTGTTTAAAAACAGCAGCCGCGGAGAAGTCCCGGGGTGGCAAGCTGGCTGGGAGCTGAGCCCGCACCCCACGTCTGCCCCTCCACGGCCCTCGCGCTGCGCTGCAGGCTGGACGGGGCGCCCCGCTGCTCGCTCGAGGGGGCGGGGAGCGGTCCGGCCAGGTCAGAGCTCCTGAGGCCAACAGGAGACTTGCCCTTCCCGCGCCACCCCTCCAGCAGGCTGCCCCTCCTCCTCCTCTCTCCCTCTTCACCCTCAACTGCC